TTTTTTTTTTGTACCGGGGATTGAACTCAGGGGTGCTCAACCACTGAGACATATACCCAGCCCCCTTTTTATATTTTATTTAGAGACAGGGTCTCGCTAAGTTGCTTAGGACCTGTATAAGTTGCTGAGGCTGGCTTTGAACTTGAGATCCTCTTTCCTCAGCCTCGTAGCAGTAGAACCCTTTCAAAATCTTGATTTTAGAAACCGTTGTTAAGACTATGTAATAAGCATTATATAATAAACTTTTGTTGAACCCGAGCTTCACAGATTATTTCAGTTGATATCCATCAAACAATGTGATAATGAGATGGGATAGACATAGTTTTAGAACTGAGACTGGTTACACAGTGTGAGCTATAATTTCTTCTTCTGCTTGCCTTATTACTCTAGTCTCTAGTATGACTTCCCTCTTGCATTGTATTAGTGCCATTGGTTTCCTCATTCTGGAGTAATGATATAAATTTCATCTGTACAATGAAATTTCCTGTGTATTTGATTTATTCAGGGAGTAGGAAAGTGAACTTTTTTTTTTTTTTTTTTTTTTGTGGTGCCAGGGATTGAACCCAGGGTCTTGTGTGTGCATAGGAGGCAAGCATTCTCTCTACTGAGCTGTATCCCCAGACAAGAAAGTAAACTATTTTTGTTGTTGTTGTTGTTAATTTACTAGTGGCAGATGGTGAAGAGTGTTGCAAAAAGTGTCTTATACAAAATAAATTTAGGCGTGTGTGATTGCAGATGTGGGTAGAGGATACCATTCAGCATGAATTCAAGGTGTACGGTACTCAGAAACATTTTTTGCCCCAAGTCAGAGGCAAAGAATGCATTTATTCTAATTGATCTAGTTTTTCTCCTTTCCCCTTTTAGACTTGATGGTAGAGTTTATTGTAACACACATGATGAAGGAGTTTCCTATGGATCTCTATGTGTAAGTACCATGATTTATTTAATGAGTGCACATCTATTTTAAAGAATCAAGTGTTGGGAAATTTATGGTTATGTATATTTTCTTAAGAAAAACAAATTTAGGGCCGGGGCTGGGGCTCAGTGGTAGAGCACCTGCCTAACACGTGTGAGGCACTGGGTTCAATCCTCAGCACCACATAAAAATAAATAAAGTTAAAAAAAGAATTCTGTTTAAAAAAAAAAGGAAGAAAAACAAATTTATATGTGAATTGTTAGGGAACATTTTATATATCTTTTCAGAGGGCGAAAAAGTACAAACCACAGTTAGGATTCTGCACATATCTTCATAATCACTTTTAGGCTCGTTGTATAGGGACCTGGCCTGATGCCTTAAAGCAGTGATCATAGGGTGCTGTTATAATCTAAAGATATGTAATACCAGCTGATGATTTAGTTGTCTCAGGGCATTAACATTAGAATAGTCAGTGGTAAATAGAACTAAGATAGGAATAAGTCAAGGGAGGGTTTCTGGTTCATTCTTAGCCTACATTGTCCTGCCTCTCTAGCTAGAGTCTTACTACCTAGGCTTGTCTGGGAGAGTCCTGATCTGATTGTCTATCACATTTCTTTACAATGAGGACAGCTGGATGGAGGCAATTGAAAATCATCATAGTTTAATAAAGTTAAAGTCTTTAAGTTTTTTCTGTACTTTGCTACTTCTACATTCTTCTTTATGATATGTCACATTGTATCTCCAAATATGTGTATTTTTTTCTTCTTTCTAAACCATCTTAGTTGAGTCTGACAATGGGGTTGGAACCTCTGGTTTGGGGAGGAAAGAGAGCAATTTGGTGCATAGTAAGTTTTTTATATCTTTTTATTTATTTATTTATTTTTTTAAAGAGAGAG